GCATCCCTGGAAGTACTTACCCAAGAGAAATGGCTGAATCTCAGAACAACCGCTTTGTGGTATTTTAAGTTACTCTAGTCCCATTCTCCACTCCTCACCTCAGCAACAGCCCTGAAAATAACAGCCATCATTCCCAGTATTAGGAGAAGCGGAACAGACTTCATTCACAAAATACTGTAACTATTTATATTGACCTGTCTGGTGGCTCCCTGGAAGGCCAGCTCAGAAGGCCTTTGTTTTGCCTAACTTGGAGTTGGTCCAGAGCTAAAGTTGCTAACTAGGGGCAATGTTTAAAATATTAGCAGGCAAATGTTTTATTTGCTGCTGCCTGAGGTGACAGAAAACAACTGGGGCAAGCAACAGACTAACCAAAAAGCCTGGAAGAAGCACCAGGGAAATGAGATATCCATAGAGACTTTGTAAAGCTTTAAGATATTTCTGAGAAATCTAGAAGGCCACACTCATGCCCAGGGCTGCATGTATGTTTAGAAAAGATCTGAGAAGGCCCTAAACTCTCACAGTGGCCAAGCAGGAGGCTGAAGGTGAAGGCAGAGTTGTAAGCCACCTGGCTGAATGTTGAAGATTTGTCACAAAAACACACAACTTCCTTAGCAAATACTGGAAGATTTATTCATTCCAGGTGTTTAAGAATATCTCTGTCTACTTATTAGCTGACCATTAAACTTTCAGAACAGAGACTTTCATGGCCACAAATGACAAAGAATACAAACATTACAAAATTAGTTCAGAAAAGTCACTAGACAAGTACAAAATGCAGTAAGAATAACAAAGCTGAGAGGATGGAGAAGAAATTCGATTTTCAGAGTTGTCACATTACAATATTCACATTTTTATATTCTTCAACAACAAAAAAATAAGACATGCAAAGAGGAAATTATGACCCATACATAGAGAAAAAAGCAATCAGTAGAAACTGTCCCTAAGGAAGCATGGGCATTGTACGTTTTAAACAAATACTTTAACTCAGCTATATTAAATATGTTCCAAGAACTGAATGAAACCATGTTTAAAGAACTAAAGTAAGAGGATTACAACTTAACCAAATACAGAACATCAATAAAGGAATAGAAATTATTATTATTATTTTGCTTTTTGAGATGGAGTCTTACACTGTCACCGGGGCTGGAGTGCAATGGCATGTTCTCAGCTCACTGCAACCTCTGCCTCCAGGGTTCAAGCGATTCTCCTGCCTCAGCCTCCCGAGCAGCTGGAATTACAGGTGCCTGCCACTACACCCAGCTAATTTTTGGTATTTTTGGTAGAGACGGTGTTTCACTATGTTGGCCAGGCTGTTCTCAAACGCGTAACCTCATGATCCACCCGCCTCGGCCTCCCAAAGTGCTGGAATTACAGGCGTGAGCCATGGCGTCTGGCCAGAATAGAAATTATTAAAAGAACCAAACTGAAATTCTACAGTTGAAAAGCACAGTAACTGAAATAAAAATTCACTAGGGGGGTGCTCAGCAATAGATGTAAGCAGACAAAACAAAAAATCTGTGAACTCCAAGACTGATCAGTTGACATGCAGTCTGAGGAATAGGAAGAAAATCAAAAAATGAAATGAACAGAGCCTGAAAGACCTGTAAGATAACATCAAGAATACCAGCATATGGCCAAACACAGTGGTTCACAACTGTAATCACTATTTTGGGAGGCCAAGAGTTCAAGACCAGATTGGGCAACACAGTAAGATCCTAACCTCTACAATAAATTTTTTGAAAAGTTAACTGGGCTATTTGGAAGGTTGCAGTGAAAGGACTGCTTGAGCCCAGGAGTTCAATGCTGCAGCAAGCTATGACTGCACTGATGCACTCCAGCCTGGGCAACAGAGCAAGAACCTGCCTCTCTAAAATAAATAGGTATGTTACTAATAATACCAGCATACCCATACAGCAAGTCTCAGAAAGAGAGAAAAAAAGACAATTAATCAGGGAGAATATTTGAAGAAATAGCTGAAAACCTTCCAAATGTAATTTAAAAAAAGAGAGAGAGAGTTTTAAAGGAAAACATTAATCTACCACTCTACAAAGCTCTGGAAGCTCCAAGTAACATAAACTCAAAGACATGGATACTGGCACATCATAAACTGTTGAAACACAAGGACAAAAAGAGAATCTTGAAAGCAGCAAGAGAGAAAGAAGTGAGTCATCACATCCAAAGGGCCTCAAGAGGATTAACAGCTGATTTCTAATCAGAAATCATGGAGGCCAGAAGGCAATGACATGACATATTAAAAGTGTTGAATGGAATTTAAAAAAAAAACCCCACCAACCAAAAATTCTATACCCAGCAAAGCTATTCTTTTAAAAAGAAAGAAAAATTGACATTCATAGGTAAACAAAAACCAAGTTTATTGCTAGCAGAATTGCTCTACAAGGAAAAAAAAAAAAAGCTAAAGGGAGTACTCAAGCTAAAATGAAAGAACCCTAGACAGTAACTCAAACCCCCATGAAAGAAAAAAAAAAAACTGGAAAGGTAAATGTAACCACTAGCACAAAAAAACATTAAAAAATGTATTTTTTTTTAAACTTGGAACACAAATGCTTTATTTAACAGTGCATCTCAATTCCCATGTGGAGGGCAAAAAATAAAATAAAGGAGCAGATCGTGGCACACCATTCCCACCGGCCAAGCAGTCAAACCCTACATCCAAGACCCAACAAACAGCCATGCTCAGCACAACTTCCAGGTCTCTCACTCTGCCTCTAGCAGGATGAACATGTTGCCCTGGCACCTGGGGCCTTTTACATTGCGGATGGAGTGGCAAGACAATGTATATCTGTTTGTAACTCTTGTTCTTCCTTCCTGATTTTTAAAACTGCATTAATTATAAAACTATGTTGATAGATATAATTTATAAAGATGTAGTTTGTGACAATAACAGCATGGGCAGAAAGAAGGTATATAAAGCAAAGTTTTCATTATTGAAACTAAGTTGAGATTTATCTGACCTAGATAAAACAGACTAGTTTTACAATCTCCTATAATAAAAATTCTGTCTTTTTAAAACAAACTATCTATTGGACTTTTTTGTTTTTGGTGTCATCGCTAAGAAAGCTTTGCCTAAAGAATACCCAGAGATATTTACTCATCTTTTTTGTAAGAGTTGTACAGTTTTTGCTTGTATTTAGGTCTATGATCCATTTCGTGTTAATTTTTGTGTACATAGTGTGAGGAACACTTTTTATTAAATCTTATTTTTCTGTTTCAAATTGCATATCCTCTACCAATCTATCTTGCTGATTTTTCCTTCTGTCAGCTCAAATCTAGTACTGAGCCTTTCTACTAACTTTTTAAATTGTAGTTATTGTACTTTTCAACTCCAGAATTTTCATTTAGTTTGTTTTTGTTTTTTTAGTAATTTCTATCTGTATATTCTCTGCTTGATAAGACATTATACTTTCCTTAATTCTTTAAATATGGCTTCCTTTAGTTCTTTGGATTTTATTTATTATTTATTTATTTATTTTGAGGCAGAGTCTCACTCTGTCCCCCAGGCTGGAGTGCAGCACGCCTTCTTGGCTCACTGCAACTTCTGCCTCCTGAGTTCGAACAATTCTCCTGCCTCAGACTTCTGAGTAACTGGGACTACAGGAACCCACCAACACGCCTGGCTAATTTATTTTTAGTAGAGATGGGGTTTCACGATGTTGGCCAGGCTAGTCTCAAACTCCTGGCCTCAAGTGATCCACCCACCTCAGCCTCCCAAAGTGCTGGGATTACAGGCATGAACCACTGCACCCAGCCTTTTGGACATATTTATAACAGCTACTTAACATTTATCCTAAATTTGGTATCCCTCAAAACAACTTAATACTTCCTCTATTTCTGTGCCATATAGGACACATATTTTTCTGTTTCTTAGCATATCTCAATTTTTGTTGAAACGAGACATTTTAGGTAACATAGGATCTCTGCATACTGATCATCTTCCCTTAGTGACTTGGCTTGACTAATTAACATATGGCTTGAAGACTGCTTTCACTACTTACGGAGTTTAGAAGTTTGCCCTGCATTCAGCCAGGAACTTACAGTTCAGAAGTTCTCTCTGGTCACTCCTCTGAGATAACAGCCTTGAACATGCATACAGTCTTCCTGATCACAAGGAATGTCTGTATTTTTACCCAGGCTGTCTCTTCCCCTGAAGCTTTAAGCTTCTGGTTATCTATTGGGACCTGGTAACTGTTTAGCCTCCAATGTTACTGATTGCTCTACTGCTTTCTACAATACTCTGAAGTCTGTACAAAGTCAGGCTCTGTGACAGTTAATTTTCAGTGTCAACTTGAATGGATTAAGGAATACCTAGAGAACTGAAAAACCATTATTTCTAGGTATGTCTGTGAGTGTGTCTTCAGAGACTGGCTTATGAGCCATCAGACTGAATGGGGAAGATTTGCCCTCAATGTGACTGAGGCACAATCCATCAGCTAGAAGCCTGGATAGAAGGAAAAGAGAAAAAGCTAATTCTCTCTCCCCTCATATTCTCTCCCCCTCCCCATCACCCTCAACCCCATTCCCCAGAAGCTGAGACAGCTTTATTCTCATGCCATCAGAACTCCAGGCTGTCAGGCCTTTGCATTCAGGGACTTAAACCCGTGGTCCCTTGGTTCTCAGGCCTTCTACCTCAGTCTGAGAGTTATACCATCAGTTTTGCTGGTTCTGAGGCTTCTAGACTTAGACTGAGTCATGCAACCACCATCACTAGCTTGCATACAGCCTAGTGTGGGACATCTTAGTCTCCATAATGACGTGACCCAATTCCCTTCAGTCCTGCCCTCTTATATTGGTTCTCTCTAAAAAACCCTAATTCAGGACTTGTGGTGTTTTTGAAGCTCACTCCAACCATCCCTGAACAGAACCTCTGTACCTTTGTGCTATGGTATGGGTTGAAGGATAGAAAGAACGGGAAATCAGCTCTTCCATGAATGCCCAATCTACAATACTCTCTGTAAAGCAGCTGTTAGAGGAAGAGGAGAATAGGGGGTGGGGGTGGGAGACAAAGCTGTAAAAATGTAATCTGCCAAGCAGGTATATTTAGTCTTCCACTCAGAAATACTATGTAACCCCCAGTTAGGTCTTATAGGGTTGGTTTGGTGTCTGATTTTTTTGGTTTTTTGTTTTTGGCGGGTTCATACTATTTTATGCCTCTTACTATAAATGGGTCTTATTGGCCAGGCACAGTGGCTCACGCCTTAAAATCCTAGCACTTTGGGAGGCAAAAGTGGGTGGATCATTTGAGGTCTGGAATTCAAGGCCAGCCTAGCCAACACGGTGAAACCTCATCTCCACTAAAAACATGAAAATTAGCTGGGCATATGGTGGGTGCCTGTAATCCCAGCTACAGCAGAATCGCTTGAACCCATGAGGTGGAGGCCGCAGTGAGCCAAGATCACACACTGTACTCCAGCCTGGGCGACGGAGTGAGACTGTCTCAAAAAACAAACAAATGGGTCTTCTTTTATTGTTTCCCAGTTGATTACTGTTAATTGTTCAGGAAAGGTGACTTAATTTTCAGTGTACTCCTTTAAACTTTTAAGATATTAAAAACAAGTCATCTACAAGTAGTATTTTGGTCTCTTCCCAAATATGAAAAGTTTAACTTTCATTTTGCTTTCCTATTCTTTGACATTAGCAGTAACTTACGATGTAATTGATGATAGCAGGCAACATTTCACTCCTTAATTGAAAGATGTATTTCAAGAGTTGCAACAGAAACATAACCCTCACTTTTGGTTCAAGCACTTTAAAGTATATGGAAAATTCCTTATTTTAACACATTAGAAATGTCTTTACTAGGAATAAGTATTTAAATTAAACACATTCTTGGCAACTCCTAAAATCATGACTTCTAAAATTGATGTACATTATATTTTTTCCCACACTATTTACTCAAAAGTTTCCACTCTTGTAACAATTATTCTCTTTTTAAATAGATTCCAAAATTTGGAGGCATTAACAGAAGCTTTGTTAAAGAACTAGTCAAAAGGCATCTCAAAAATGACTTTAAGAAACACTTCTTCCAAGACACTAATTACTTCTCACCTGTCCAGTTATTAAGAGAAGCATAAATTAATGAACATAAAACTGAACCATTTCATCTCTCCATTATAGGGAAATTTTTTCACCAATGCCATACTCTGCTAACTAGAAACAAACATTGCCCTGAAAAATTCCCCCAGTAAGTTTTGTCAGATAAGATCCCCAGTGGGGTCAAGGTACTATACTGACAGCAAGGATCCTAACAAGTTGTTAAGGGAAAGAACAGAGCCAATGGCCCAAATGGCTCTATTAAGGAAGTTAAGGAAGGAAGCAGATGTCAATGGTGAAAAGGAATCTTATTTTCTAAAAATCAGGATAAGCTGTATGCAATTAATATATAATATTCTGTTTTTACTTCACCTCTATTTTCTCCCATCCCAAGAACCTCTATTACTTTTTCTTAACATTCTATTTCAAATCACTAAAAGAACTAATATCTAAGTCTTTTTCTCATCTAACCTGAACATAAATTCTCACAGCCATTTCTCCTCTATCTCATTTTTAATCCCTTCATAAGTTGCCTAACTCAGCACACAAATGATCTATTTTACCCACTAATCATTTTCATTACCTTTACAGTCTCTTCATTTTTATACAAATACATCTATACTAGAAACTTTATATACATGTATTTTAGTTCGAATACTTTGTAGCTCTTTTACACAGGTGGTATACAGCACAAAACTTATCAAGCTTGTGTTTTTTAATAAAAATCCCACTCTAAAAGCGAACTCTAGGGAATTCAAGCAACAGTTGATAAACTAGGCCTGGTGGGCCAAATTCAGCCCACTTCCTGCTTTTGTAAATTGTTTTATTAAATGTAGCCACACTAATTCATTTATATATTGTCTATGGTTGTTTCTGCATTATGAGAATTGAGCAGTAAGGACAGAAACTAGAAGGCCTATGAAGCTTAAGTTATTTATCTGACCCTTTATTGAAAAAAATTTGCTGTCCCCTCAATAAAAACATTTTTCTTTAAAAAAAAAAAAACTATTAGATTTCAATTTGTGTTACTAAATATCTAGCAAGATAAATTCTTTGAAGTGAATTCTGTTTTTGAAGTAGATGCCAAATAGTGAGAGACCCACTTCAGTGAAGATCGACAAATTGGAAATAGTAAAACAAATTTCTGACCCAGAAGTTCAACAGCAAAACTAAAACTAACTCTTTAATTGTAATAAGAACCTCAAACTACTGAATATCATGTTTTGGAAAGCCATCTTTGGAAAGTCACAAAAAGGGATAGAGGATTTTGTTTTGAATTTTCTGCAATGCCACAATGAAGCTCCAAGCAGGTATGTCTCCCTCAGAATAATGTAAGTTAACAAAATCAGAAAAAGTTCCAACCAGACTATCTGAGGTGTGAATCTTACCTTAAATGGCTGTTAAAACTTTAAGGCAAGAAGTATACATCTCGACATTAGATTTATTTTACTAATATGGCTATTCTGAAATGTAATTTTATAGTGCTGTTAGCGGTAGCAGGAAAGTTCCTTCTCTCTCCTCTCTATTCACAGCAGGTGATCCCTCATAATGAATCTATATGTAACAAGCAGAGCATTTAATTTTATTGCTGTTAGAGAACTGAAGACTACAAGCCTTTCTATGGCTTACCTTGCCAGCATAACCATAGTAAAACTATGGTATATGTTACCTTTCTTAAGTAATATATCATCCATGATTTGGGGAAGAAAAAGAAATCCCATACTTTATCTTGTATAGTTAACTAGCATTGAAAACACATACACTTTAAAATCTAATATTTTCTAGTAAAATAAAATTCCCATTAAATTTTAGCACAGTAAAAAATTCTTGTGTAAACACAAACTTAAAATAAATTTAATTGAAAATGTTCATTACAGAAATTAACAATGCTTACCATTCTTTAAACACCATATACATTATTAATATATACTGTATATTTCCAATTAACTCCATTCTTAGGCTCAATTTAAGAAACACAATTGTAACATTTTATACAAAAAATACTTCACTAAGAAAGTAGACAAACTGCACAAAACAGTACAAGTATAATGTGCATAGCAAGATAGCTTGAAGCATTCTATGTATGGCTTTCTTTAAAATAAACCTATTAGGGGAATGGGCCCATTTGGGACCTGCTGTTACAGTTGACATATGTAAACTGTTTCACATCTTTTTTAGGCACTTGCTAACAATAGTGTTCAATCCCTGAAAAACGAATTTACCTAAAAAAAAAAAAATCTACATCTGAAATAAAAACCAAGAAAATAACATGGGTAAAGTCTGATATATTCCTTTTAAATTAAACAACCAGTTTTATTAGTGCATGCACAGAACTAAACTGAAAGAAAATAAACTTATGTCAAAAATTTCTGTGCAAAATTTACATAACTAAAAGATACAAAAATATGTACAGATTTGTTATATACAGAAAAGAAGCCCTGAAGTTTTCATCCAATCAATGAAAATGTCATTAACATTTGTAACAATGTGACAAAAAAACATATAGCACTTAATTTTGTAATACAAGAACTCCATTATTCAGATGCAATAAAATTTGATCCAAACTTACAAGGTGAAAAATCTAAATCTATGATTTTCTTGTCATCATGAAAACATCCATTTTAAAACTGTTGGGCATGTCCCTTAAGAATCTGTCCTAAGGTTTCATGCACTGTCTCTGGGTCCACTGTTAATGCTTCCTTTTTCAAATGCCAACAATCTGTATATATGTTTTGGGTTGTCAGTCACACTGAGAAGAAGCTAACAGAAATGGTTTGTCCTAATTTGGACATGTTCAAATAATAAACTGAATACAGATAAAAATATAATCTTATTTCAAAATATTGTTTTGGTAAAAAGATTAAATTTTCAAGAAAAGCCACTCCTTGGAAATGCTCCTATGTTCCATTCTTTTTAAAGGGATGGGAACCAAGAATTTAAAATGGCCATTTGTTTATGGAGGACAAACAATTTAAATGAGATAAGCACTGTTCTGTGCAAGGAGATGATCAGAGATTATAATCAAATTCAGAACTCTGTTCAAGTTCTCTAACCAAACTTTCAATGCGACAAAGAGTTTAAATTCTTCTCTTGAGGTTGCCCATCTACTGCAACATTTGACATGGTCATTTAGAAAAAGAAAATCACCTTGGGAGAGTGTTGCCAATTTTTGACACATGACAGAGTTCAACTGGAAAAAAAAATTTTACTTGCCAAAAACTCTTCAAGCATTATATGAGGTGTAACTGTAGTGAGTCAAATGTACTTTCCAAGCAGCCTAATATCCTTCAAAAGAACTATATTTAACAGATATAGTGACTTCTTCACCCAAGCTCTCTCAAAGTATCCACAAATGTGAGAAACTCCTTCAGCTCTATCATGAAAGAGCTCTCCACCTCCAGAGGAGCTACACTTAGATGCATAAGGCTGGTGGAAGAAGAGAGGGAATGAGGGTGTCAGCCATTACCCTCTACTAAGAGTCACCAAAGAACTAAATTGGGAAAATTATTTTATCAAAATTTTCTTTAGCCCTAACTTCCCAAGAACACATTTTTCAAAAATTAAATCAAGGTATTTCTGTGCTGTGATTAGTTTCTTGCAAAACTTATGTGTGCAGAGATAGCATTTTCAAATATCACACATAAAACTTTTACTCTTCCACAGAAATATAATCAACTGTTAAAATGTTTAATTTCAGGTATACTGAAGTAGAATATTGCATTATGGTAATTCAACCCACTGTTTCCTTCTAAGGTAATTTCACTTTTCTTTTCCTTGGTAATTACTGTAAACTATTCTAACATGTTCCAATCCCGAGTAGCTTCCATTAAATGTCTCTGACCATGACCAGCCCAAGTATCCTGATTGTCAAATACTCTACCACAAAACCAACAGTTAAATTTAGCCTTCAAAATATTTTCAGAGGTAGTCTTCACAATCTGATAATTGTTTTTGCTTGTCTTTTTGAGTGTTAATTTTAGCACAAATCTTTCTTTCACAGAACTAACAGGTTTAAATGTTTTGTGCCTCTTGGAAAAATCGTCGTAAGTTGTTTTTGGAGGATTATAGCAAACTGGTTTCAGTAAAGCATTGATAGTTCTTTTTGACAATGAAACCTTAAGTACGTGTCCATTAAATTTTGCAATAGTTTTCATTACACTTACTACTTCTGGTGCATCTGCATCAGGATGATTCAAAACTACAACTGGTTGGTTTCTCCTAGGACATTTCACAAGCTGTTTGGAACTAAAAGGGAAAAGCCTCAAAGTTCTGACAGAATCTTTTGAAAGCCTAGGTTTGCTAAATCCAAATGTTTCATTGACGTCTTCAGGTTTTGCCTTTTCTTTACACTTTCTATGCAATGTTGCTTTTCTTCTTGGAGGTTCTTGGTAACTATCCCTACACTTGCGTTTACAGTTTCTGTTTCTAGATACAAAGGCAGTATCCGAGTCTTCACTTCCACCACGAGTTTTTTTTTTTGAAAAAATTTTTTTGGAAGTCTTTTTTCTACTGAAGTTTCTCTCAGGTGTACAATTTGTTCTACATCTTAATACCCTGGCCTCTGAATAGTCACTGACACATACCGGTTCCTCAGAAGACTCTGGGCACGTTGCAGAAGAAGTTATCACAATTTCATTTGCTGGCATTAAGTCATCTAGTAAGAGGGGTAAGGCATCTCTAGAAGATTCTGGCTCTTTCTGCTCTCCTCCTTTAATGTGATTAGATGGTACACTGTCTTTTTGCAATGAGGATGCAGAGTTGCTTACTGACAGATTATTAGCAGCAGTCACATTCAAAACAGGGTTAAAAATTTTCAGCAATATTCTTTGTGGTGTTCCTTCAGGTTTCTTTGGCTGTATATTTTGATAAGTACTATTTTGGACTAATTTGGGCTTAAGCAGCTCAGTTTTATTTGGCATCACACACTTTAAAAAAACAGCTTGTTTGCCATCAGGCAAGAGGGTATAAAGAGGTGGTTTTGGAAAAATCTCCTTGTGCTGTTTTGCTGAATCTGAGATATTCAACTTAGCATTCTGTTGCTCAGATAGCATGTTAGGAATAAAAACAGCTTTCACAGAACTCGTTGGTTTCAAAATGTAAGGACCTTTTAATGGCAAAGTATTTTCTGAGTTACTTTTCATGCTCAAACAACTGCCAATGCTGGAACAAAGTGCAGGTGTAAGACAATTATTGTTTGGTTCTACCTTCAAAACAGGTGTTTTGCAAGGCTCCTTAGTCATAGTTCCATGAGCTTGGGCACCCTCAGTTTTGACAGTGGAAACACCTTCAAGTTTCCCATTATTAAATGTTAAAATCATCCCAGGTTTCTTGTTTACAACAAGAGAAGCAGGGATACCTTGTGAATTAACGAATGGAAGTGCATTTCCTGGAACAACCGGTAACCCAGGCTTGTTAGTAATGTTCACTGGTACAAAAAGCCCTTTTGAAGTCTGAACAACTATAGTTCTTTTTTGTTCTGAATTTAAAAGTGGACTCTGCATATAAAAAGAACCTAAATTTTGAGTGGTGGCTCGTAGTTTGTCTTTTACAAGCTGCTGTGTTATTATCGCATCTGACTGAGTCTTAAGTAATGTGCCAAAACCTGAAATTCTAGGTATCTTCTCTGAATCTCTCACATCTTGTGGCACTGATGGCATTTGTTTTTCTTTTCCAAATTTCAAATTCAAATCATTTGCAGGCACATTAATACCCACACTGCCAGGTGGAACCGCGAAGATGCCTTGCACTTTGTAATCTTTTGAAGGTTCAACAATTTTGCTTTCTCCCTCATGTTTTTGAAATGACTGGTCACAATGAAGTGGAAGGCCTTTATCTGGAATGTTACTAGAATCTTGTTTTACATCAGGTTTTATTTTCAATACATCCTGAAGCAATTGGTTTACTTCAGGTGGCAGAAATTCTGATGCCTGTTGGCTCTGGAGAGAGAAAACCGATGTGATTCTGGGCATCATAGGTGAATCAACATTAATAAAGTTATCCCATTTAGATTTTTCAGTTGTACACTCTAAATTTTGATTTTCATTACTGTACAGGTTTTGTCCATCAATGTTTTGTCCTTTGTCTAAAACATACTGTTCTTCAATTTCAGATTTTGCTTTTAAAGTTCCATCTTTATCATTTAAAAGGCTAATAGATGCTAACAGGCTATCTGGTTTTGAGCTTTCCTTCCTCACTAGTGACAAAAATGATTCACTAATTGGTTGCTGGACAACTGTTTTGCTGGATGAAGATTCTCTTTGAGGGTTTTCATACACTGCTGTTCCTGAAAACCTACGACGTTTATTAGAATTATTCACTTTTGAGTAATTATGAAATGGTAATGATCCTTGGTTGGAAGATTCAACAGTTACCTCAGAGCTGCCATAATTAATGCAATAATTATGCATATCTCCACTGTTGTATGCATTTGGTTTGGTAACACAGTTGACTTTATCTGGACTTTTAATGGTGGTACCTAATACCTCGGGATGATTGTGAGCAAGATGATTTCCCCAGAAGTCAACATTATCTCTTGTTTCAAATTTTGTGGTCAAATTCACTGATGCTGTAACCAATTCTGATGTTGCTGGCAAAGAAGATACACTTTTCTCATAATCCATTGTTTGAAGCATATTATTCCTTTGAGATATCAAAGTCATTTCTTTTTCTGAAGTTGCTTTCCCTGAAAGTATAGAAGATGAACATGAAAATGGAGTAGCTGCTTTCATATAAACTCTGTCATTTAACTCAGTTGTTACTCCTGTTAAAAATCCATTAGTGTCCAAAGTCTGGGGCTGCAAATTAGCAGTACCAGGAAGTACCTTTGCAGCACCTGAATGTGAGTCTGGTGATAAATTCTGTTTATTGATAGGCACCAATTTTATTACAATATGCTGTTTTCCATCTACCATTTTGAAGCCCATAAACTTAGCACTATAGTTAGGGGGAATTGTTATTTTATTATTTTTCACCAATAACACTGTAGATCCTAGTACAGCAGTCTTCATGAAACCTGAACTAACGTTTGGTCCCTCTCCAGCTCTATTACCTTGCCCAGTGGACAGAAGAGTTGGTTTCTCTGCCTCTGATTCAGTAACTTTATTATTATTCTCACAGTGTAGTGTTTCATCCTTTTCTTCACTTAAATGCTCTTGAACAAGATGGCTCTGGTCTTCAGATTTAATCTGTGTTTTGTTCATTTTTTTAAGCACCTGAGTGTTCTTTTCTATATCTCTGTCACTTCCACTGTTAATTTTCTTACGTTTCCAGAATGTCTTCCTTGATGTACCTATTTTATATCTTTTCAGTATTAGCTTAAGTCCTGCTGAAGTCTTGGCCATCCTTTTATCATATTTGTCTTTTTCCAGTTTTTCTTTTGCATATAAATGTTCTTTGTGCAAAGTTACAACATGTCTTACAAGGTGTTCTCTCCTGGTGGCACCATAGCTACAATATTGACAAGTGAAGGGAAAAGTACCAGAATGAACATGAAGGTGCTTCTGAAGCTCTCCTTTGGTAAAACATACATGATGACATTTACCACACTTATAATGAATTTCGTTATGTCTATGAATGTGCTGAACAAATGTGCCAACATCCTGGGTGGAGAATTTACACTTTTCACATTGAAAATTACCATTAACACAATGTGTGGATGTGAAATGCTTTGTCAAGTTCAGTAAAGTATATACACTCTCATTGTTACAAATGTCACATTTTACTAAAGTGCTTCTATGGGTTCGTCTGTGTTGTTTAAATACCTGAAAGTCATTTGCTGAAAAGCTGCACATTTCACAAGGGTATGAAGGTAATTCACCATGGTGCCACATTTGAAAGTGTTTCTGCAAATCATTTGGGCTATATCGAGTGTTGTCTCGGCATTTCAAACAGCTGAAATTGAGTATTTTTGCAGACATGTTTATACCCTCTTCTTCAGCTCTCTCAGACTTATGAAGCAATGTACACTCCTCTACATAGTTTATAGTCTTTATATTGATAGATTTTCTTGCAGTCTGCTGTTTACTCTGAAATAATTTTCCGTATTTGTCAACTTCATCTTTTAATAGGACTTCATTTGGAATATTTATTTTTGGCAAATGAATTTTCACATTTTTCAGTTCATAATGAATGCTTTCTGAAATTTTTGGTTTAGGCACTGATCTGTCAACTATTTCATTTTTCACATCATAATCTTTTTTTAACGTAGTTTGTTTTTCATCACAAAATAACTGTTTCTGTTCAGATGGCATGATTTAACCAAAAAAGTCCCAATTTCTTTTTTTCTGAAAACTCTTGAAGTTATCTGTAATTTAAACAGGAAACGATACTGTGTAGAGACATCTTCAAAATACGGGATTTTTCCCACAATAACTCACCTAAAATTAAACAAAGAATTGAAATTCTTATCACAAAAGTAATAGTAAATTTCGTATCTTTAAGTTCATTTTGGCACAAAGTAGGAAAGTTAATCAAAAACATAAAGATACAAAAAACTTGTTAAGTATTTTAAGAACAGCTTACCAAGAAGTATAGTTTGAAGTAAAAATAACACTAATCTGGAAGTCAGGAAATGCAAGCTTTAGTTCCAGCTCTGCTGTGTGACCTTGGGAAAGCTTCAACTTCTCTGGACCTCAGTTTTCTCATCTAAAGAAAACCATAGTTGGGTAAGTACGCTCAAGCACTAAGATTTTTATATTAAGGTGTAATACAGTTTTTAAACAGGATTTTAAAAATCTTAAGAGAATCCTAAAAAGTTCCAGTTATGCACATGTGGTTTATCCACATACTATTAACTTTCTCCTTTGCTTAGTTGATCCAATAGCTATTTCCTTGTGAGAATCCCAACAGACTCTCCAGATTTTCTACTTCCTAGTTCCTCAGGGATAATCTACAGTTAAAACAAAAGCTTCATTCATCTAACAATAACAACTAAAGACAACATCTGCTTATCATTGCTTACAGGTTAGAAAACAAACAAACAAAATAACAAAAAAGAAGAAATTAAAAAGAATAGCACCATTTCTCTGGTGTAGTCCCAAAGTCCAACTACTTACTACCTTTCCTGTTCCCTGCCATTTTGGCTATGTGGATTTATATCCCTAGCACTCAGACCAGATGACAGCAAGGAAAAGCCCTTGGCAGATTAGAACATAACCATCACTACCTACCTCCATTAATTCAAGCACTTACTGGTCATGTCACTTTAGACAAGTCTCAATCTCTGTGTCTTAGTTCCTTCATCTGTAAAATGGGGGAAAAATTAGTACTTCCCCTATGTCTTTCACAAGGTTGTTGTGCAGATTAAATGAGAAAATACATACAAAAAATATCCTTTAAAGTGCTATATCTACCACTATTACAGTATGTGATTACCATGTATGGGACATAACAACATATTGTTGAGACAGGAATCTGAATACTGAAGGTTCAGTCATTAAAATATCTGTATTATTAGAAAAATCAAGTTTTAAATTTTGTGCTCTTCTATATACATAGATACAGATATATGACTCAACAAAATTAGATAAGCTAAACAAAACAAAGTAGAAATTACATTAAACTCCACCCATAATGTCTATCCAAAGGTCTTGGCTTTAAACTTCAATTAATTTAAATACCTAGGAACTTTACTGTTTTAGAAATTCTTTACTGAGGGAATATGATTAAAAGTTGAACTACTTACATATTAAGAGATCTATATAAAGTAATCAGGCTGGGTGTGGTAGCTCACGCCTGTAATCCCAGCACTTTGGGAGGCTAAAGCGGGCAGACCACGAGGTCAGGACTTCAAGACCAGCCTAGCCAACATGGTGAAATCCCGTCTCTACTAAAAATACAAAAATTAGCCAGGCATGGTGGCAGGCACCTGTAATCCCAGCTACTTGGGAGGCTGAGGCAGGAGAATCACTTGAACCTGGGAGGTGGAGGTTGCAGTGAGCCAATACCGCACCACTGCACTCCAGCATGGGTGACAGAGCGAGACTCCATCTCAAAAAAAAAAAAAAAAGTAATCGGAAGGGTACCAATTATTGAATTGTTTTACATGCCATGACTAATACAGTAAAATGTGAACCCAGAATGGGTTGCCCAGGCTAGGTATAGGAAGAATTATATGAATTGATTAAAAAGAAAATAGTATTTCTAAATCATCTGTTAAGTTTTCCTTCAGGAACTAGGGCAAGAGTGGGGAAATGAAATATATGAAGAGGTAGGAAATCAGACTGTCTAAATCTTATAAATTAATATATAACTCAGGAGTCAAAATGGTTGTGAAATAAAATATAACAGACAGCTTTGGCTTCCTTCTCTAATAAAGCCTCTCTTAGACCTTGAGAATATGACAAAAATGTAATACACACTTTTTCTGAGTATCAAAAAATTTTTGATGCCTAGCAGATGGAAACTCAGTATTTACAGTGCTTATGTCCTATTTCACATTTGACACCTCTTCTGTGCTACTGGAGTTTTCATGAGTTTTCACTAATTTCAACTTCAAGAGGTTCAAAAGCTTCACTGGGAACATTTTTGTAAGATAAATAAATGGCATAACAATAATGGTAACAGAGACCATCTTATTAAGAAATCCAGTCAGCTCTAACTGAAGCTTGGTAACTGTTAAAGCTGAATGTCAAACTTTTTCATATTTAATGTATGGCATATAAAATACAGCATTAGGGAAGTTTGTGTATTTTAGGTAGTTTAGGACTTGTTATTTGCCCTCAAATTTTAAGTTTCTCCAGAGAGGCTGTCTTTAACTATGTTCAACTTGTTGCATGGTGGAAGCAATCTGTGATGGTTAATTTTAGGTATCAACTTGACTGGATTAAGAAATACCTAGAAAAACCAGTAAAACATTACTTCTGGGTTTGTCTGTGATGGTGTTTCCAGAGACTGGAATGTGAGTCAGTAGACTGAGTGGGGCAGATATGCCCTCAGTGTGGTGGGCACCATCCAATCGGCCAGGGGCCTTGACTAAACAAAAAAGGACAGAAAAGGATTTCCCATGCCTCTCTCAGAGCAAGGATACTCTCTTCCTCCCTGCCCTTTGACATCAGAACTCCAGGCTCTCTAGCCTTAGGACTCCAGGACTAGACCAGGAGCCCTGCTTTGATGAGGTCTTTAGCCTCAGACTGAGAATTGAACCATCAGCTTCCCTGGTTCTGAGGCATTTGGACTTGGACTGAATCATGCAACCAGCATCCCAGGTCTTTAAGTTTGTAGAAAACCCGTTACAGGATTTCTCAGCCTCCATAATTGCATGAGTCAATTCCTCTAATAAATCCCCTCTCAGGTATTTACATATTTATCAATCAATCTACATGTAGTCATGTGCTGCATAATTACGTTTTGGTCAACAATGAACCAAATAAACAAAAGCGGTCCCCTGAGATTAACAGTGTAATACTGTAATTTTACTGCATCTTTTCTACATTTAGATACACAAATACTCATCATTGTGTTACATTTGTATACACTATTCAGTATAGTAACATGCTATACAGGTAGCCTAAGAGCAATAGGTTATACCATATAGCCTAGGTGTAACAGGTTATACCATCTAGATTTGTGTAAGTACACTCTATGATGTTCACACATAGAGTGTGACAAAATAACCTAAGACTCATTTCTCAGAATACATTCCCATCATTAAACAATATATGACTGTGTTTGTATCCTATTGGTTCTGTGCCTCTGGAGAACTCTGACTAATACACAAACATGATACCAGACAGCAATTTATACCAAGGTTGCCACCTATGGACAAAAAATGTTGGCATATTGTAAACATCCCAACACAAAAAAAATTATTACAATTTTAATCTTCTAACCTATGTGCTAATTGCTCCTTTTACTACAGTCCAGTCGTTACCCACCAACAAAAATTACTGATTTTATTTATTTATTTATCTTGAGGCAGGGTCTTAGTTTCATTCTGCCACCCGGGCTGGAGTACAGTGGCATGATCTCAGCTCACTGAAGTCTCAACCTCCACAGCTCAAGTAATCTTCCCACCTCAGACTCCCAAGTAACAGGGACTACAGGTATATACCACCACAGTCCGCTGATTTTTGTATTTTTCTGCAGAGAAGAGGTTTGCCATGTTGCCCAAGCTGGTCTTGAACTTCTGAGCTCAAGCAATCCACTCACCTTGGCCTCCCAAAGTGCTGAGATTACAGGTGTGTGCCAAGATGTCCAGCATAAATTACTGGTTTTAAACGTGCTATTTAAACTACTGCCTTCTATGTATGTATTATTACAGCATAAGACTTGACCAACATCTCAAAAAGTCTTGAGATAATACAATTTTGTAAAAGTATTAAAATAATCTATAGTTTCATATATGAAGATGGCAACTGAAAACATTTGATTTCTTCCTTCTCCTAAGTGCCCACTGAAACAACCAAAAAAATATAATTTAAAAACTCCTATAAAATGGCTAGGAACTAGAAAAACATTCCATATACACATGGCAAGGTGTCTGGCAGAAAATGATCTAGTGAGAGGGGAGTGAAAACAAAGGCCAACACATCACCAGCCACCATTTTTAAAGAGGGAGTTAACTAGGGAACATTTATCCAATCAATATTTAATGAGGATCTACCCATTATGCCCCTAGTAAGGAAGTGAGAGACATAATCCTATCTACTCCTTCCCCTAAACATACCTTGGTAGATAAAATGAGGCCTGAGTGAAAAACCAGCTGGAGCCCTTTGGGTGACAGAAGGCTCAGGCTGACGTACAAGGAAGAAGGAAATAATCCAGAACTTCAAGCTAGGTCCAGAGGCCAGAGTGGGTAGGGGGTTGCTAGCACCAGCTGTCAGGAGAGAAGCAAAGAGGACATTATTTCTGAACAAAGATGAATCTTCCTACACCCACAGCTATCTTCCTCTGCTTAAGAGTTCTGTCATTCCGTCAGATAACTGAATTATCTCTATATTGTCAGAAAAAAATTAGATAAACTCTCAAATTCCCCTTCTCCGAACTAAAGCACTAAGAAAAACCCTGGTATTCTCTATGAATTCATCTCAACTACCAATGCCAACAAAAAAAGGTAAGTAGGCAGAAACATCACTGGATGCAGCAGCTCTAAAAAGGGAAAATAATCTGAACTCTTAACCACTCCCCTGTTCTCCCACCCAGCAGTAACTATAATGAAAGTTACTGCAGTAAGGCCTGGCGCAGTGGCACACGCCTGTAATCCCAGCACTTTGGGAGCCTGAGGTAGGGGGAACACCTGAGGTCAGGAGTTCGAGACCAGCCTGGCCAACATGGTGAAACCCTGTCTCTACTAAAAATACAAAAATTAGCTGGTCATGGTGGCATGCACCTGTAATCCTTGCTACTCAGGAGGCTGAGGCACAAGAATTGCTTGAACCTGGGAGGTGGAGGTTGCCGTTAGCCAAGATCATGCCACTGTGCTCCAGCCTGGGTGACAGAGTGGCACTCTGTCTCAAAAAAAAAGAAGAAGAAAAGAAAGTTACTGCAATAAAAAAAGAGAAAACTTTTTTTAAAAATCAGGTAATAACTAGCAATCTTAGTAAGATCTAACATATTGAAAAAAGAGCATATTGACTGTCATAAAAGAGAGAACAAAGTAGATGGGGGAGAAATAATGATTTTGAAAAAGAGAAAAAAATGTACCTTTTTTTTTTTCCCAAAAAGATCTGAAATTTTAAGGCTCTCCAAATGCCAGGCAGGATTACAAGGTAGAAGGACAATATAAAACTCAGTAGCTACAACTTATCCTTGTAAAAATTGTTAGTTTAAAAGATAAAGATGAAATGCTATCCAAAAAGGTAGTACGGAAAGGTACTGATAGTCACCTAAAAAAAGCATTTGTTTTTCATCAGCAACACCACCTTTAATCAGACACCAATATTAATCAGACATTTTACTCAGAACTCTAAACACGAGAAGACAATGGAATAACTAGATTTCTGAGGTAACCCAAAAATTAATTTCATATCAAGAAAAGCTCCCATATGTGAGAGAAAAGCACAATTTTAGATATGCAAAGATTCAGAAAATACACTATAAATGTACTCTTTAAAGAAAAAAATTTTCAGTAAATACTTCAGCAAATTCGAATTTAAATCACAAAGAAAACTTAAAAAAATGTAATATAAAAGAAATATCGTGGGAAATATAACCTACGACACAGAAATGAATATGAACATTGTTGCTAATACAGTTAAGAAAGCAGAAAAGACGGATGGAGAAAAGAACACCTGCAACATCAAAGACTTAGAATCCCTTACAGAAAAACTAACAATGGAAAACAGAAAAAGAACCAACAGCAACAAAACTTTGGATGCTGAAAAGCAGATAAAATAGGTAGCATAAGACTCTGCAGACAGTTGGGAAAGCTAGGAACTAACACATTTTACATTCTGAATCTTTATGAGGCCTAAGAACTGGCAGCACCAAGTAACTCTGAAATGGGAGAAAGCAGGGAAGTGAAGCTAAAACAGAAACAAATTTGGAGAAAGCTGGTTTAGTTTTAGTTAGACGCTATGATTCTCTTCCCCACTCTATCACACTATCAGTAACTGTTGTTTCCCCACTACATAAGTCTAGAGGCTTATTCTCTAGAAAGGGTAAAACAGAATCTTTGTTTTCGGGGACATGGGGCACTGGTGAGAGAGTAGCCCTATGCTAAAACCAAGAGGATTAAATGAACATATATATATATGAGACACAAACCGTCACCCCATATCCCTTTTTTTCTGCTTCTAGGTTTTTTCAGCTCCTAGGTGACAACAATGCTCCTTAAACTATGGTCTGCTGATGGTCCATAAGCCGTCTGTCACCAGTCCAAGACAAGGTAAGTACCAAAACCGAAAATCAGCATTTAGAAACGATTACTGAAATTTTCAGTTAAGTTTATATCTGTTGAATCTAATAATAAAAACATGTACTTGTGTTTTGTATGTCTTCATTTTTAAAATTTCATTATTCTGGCAATTTATTTTTATTATGCTTTAAAACTATCAGCTGTAATAGACTGGAGTAAAAGAAAAAAGTCCTGGAGCTTCACCAGTTGGAGCAGCACTGGGACAGATTCTGGTGTCTGGCCCAGACCAAAGAGCTCCCCACAGTGGTAGTTAAAACCCTGTGTTACAAGCCCCTGCATGGGTTCAGAACGGGTTTTCCATGAGCTTTTTAGACACAAGCAGGCAGCCAAGGATTAACACACATCTAAGAAATCATGTCCTTATATCCAGAATATTTTCCCCTAATATTAGTTCAAGATCCAGACAAAATAAATTTTAAAAATTTAATTTGTTAGAAACCGAGACTATTAAGACACAACATTTTTAAAAACTCATTGATTTCTTAGGGATATAAGAAATAAGAACAGGATGCCACAAAAAAAAGGAACATCAAAAAGAACTCTTAGAAATAAGAAAACACGAAGAAGCCAAAAGGGGCAATGGAAGTGTTGGAAGATAAAGGTGAAATAACCTCTCAGAAAAAACAAAACACACAGATGAAAAATAGGAGAAATGGGGTAAGAAAGTTAGAGGAGCAATCTAAGAGGTCTAATATTTGACTAGTAGGAAGAGAGTACAAAGAAAAAGAGGACAGAAATTATCAATAATATGACTTTTTTAAAGGATTGAGCTGTAGGAAATCGGTTTCCAGGATGAAAATGTGTACCAAGTGCTCAGTGTAATGTACCAAGGCATATCATCGCAAAGATTCATAACAGTGGAGGCAAAATCCCAGTTTCTAGAAAGAAACAAAAAGTTCAGAAAACAAAAGATTAGAATCAAGTGACTTTAGACTTCCCAGCAACAATAACAGAAGGACAAAGTCAAAGGGGCATTACCTTCAAATTCTGGCATAAAGCTTTCAACCGAGAATTTTACACTTTGCCACGGGGCTAAGTATAAGGGCAAAATAAAGACACATAATATCCCAAAATTTACCGACCAGACATCCTTCCCCAAGTTGTTACTAGAAGACACACTCCATCAAAATGAAAGAATACACCAACAAAGAGAAAAACATGAAGTACAGGCATTGGGAGACCAAATGGAGGAGAGAGAAGTAAGTAATATCCCCAATATGACAGGTAGAGGGAAATACCAGGATAACAAACAGTTGGATCACAGATTGCATTGCTCCTGTCAGTCCAAAGACAAGACATCTCGGACATCAAAAGATAAGACACACTGAGGACTTCTATCACCAAAAACGTCACTGATACTGTACTACCTTTTAACCAAAGGACAGAATCCCCAGGTGAGCCTGGCCCAGATTCTTATCGGTATTTGGCTTGTAATGACGTAACTCGTGATGTTCCTGCTTTTCCCTCCCAGTCCTTATATTCAGATCAACTGCATGGTAAGCTCAGAAACCAAAATTACAGAGCAACCTCTCTCAGACATCCACTATCTGGTCTATACTCTGGACCTGTCAGATTCTCTTATTACACTGAGCTCTTAAGATTGCTAGGATTCACTCATGATTACACAGACTTCCCCATAAGTGGCTCTAGTAAACTCCAGAGAAGCTAAAACCAGACTATGATTCAGGTTATGCTGTTACCTTAACTTCTCCTGGGAGCCTTCATCTACTAGTGGCACTGTTACCCTTTCATCACATAGTTAGATTTAGGCTTGCTACCAAATTTTCAAAACAAAACAATTTGGAATTTACAGTTATCAAAATACCAAAAGTTACAATGGTAGTTTCATCTTGGTTAGGAGCAGAGAGGAAGATATGACCAGAGAGAACACAACAGGGAAAAAGGAAAGGAGCTTCTGTTTCTTAAATAGCTGGTATGCAGATATTTGTTTTATCTTTAAACCACATATATATTGTGTGCATTTTGTACATTAACACATTTCATAATAAAAAAAAAGTTACAAAATGGGCAAAAGACACAAAGAAGAAAGTCACAGAGGAATGTAAGTGAAAACATGCCCAATTTCACTAGAATTCAAAACGAATAAAAACAACTTCTGCCAATCAGATTGCAAAAGATGCTACATATTTCTAACATCTAGCATTGGTCAGCGATGGAAAAAAGGCATGAGGATATACTAATGATGGAGATAAAAACTGGAATGACCTTTATAAAGAAGAGTTTGCAATACATATATACAAAGTCTGGGGAAAAGGCATACGACTTCTGATTCACTTCTAGAAATGTATCCTAAAGATAACAGAGATATTGTGTCATTGTTTATAAAAATCACAAAATTAAAAATAAGTCTCCACCAATAAATGATTAAATTAACTGTAGTTTTTTAAGAGATTATGCAATTTAAAAAACAATACTGTAAACTCACATTTATTAACACAATATCTAACATACCTTAAGTGAAAAAAATAAAAAATAAACAGCAGACCTATAGAGTTTAATTTGTTCAAATACTGATAGATGGATAGAGAATCGATAAACAAATGCATAACTCTCAGTAAATAAAAAGTCAAGAAGAATGCACACACAAAAATGTTCCTAGCGGTCACTGGTTATCCTTCGGTCAGTGTTTCCTAAAACGCTGTCTTGGATCGCTGTGGCCTCCAAACTGGCATACTACCTTAGGACAGCACAAGCAAACAGCTTACATTTGAATGTTGTGAGAATGGCAATCTTTCTGCCTCCAGACCACAATTTTATGAAACTTTATGAAAAAGTGGCATGAAGTCATGAAAATTTTGAAATTCTCTAATAAAGCAAGTGACTTCTGTGGTAAATCAACTGAGTTTTTCTTGAACAAACTCAAAATAACACACTTGCTGCCAGTACAAAATAGATGAATGTTAACACTAAAGGTAAAGAAGAGATCAAAACAATATAGG